CAGCACGGAGCACAGTGTCATGGTGAGCCTGGAGCCTATCGCAGGCAGCACGGAGCACAGTGTCATGGTGAGCCTGGAGCCTATCGCAGGCAGCACAATGCACAGTGTCATGGTGAGCCTGGAGTCTATCATAGGCAGCACAGAGTTTGCCCCTAAACAGGTCTCTTAGGTTCTGTTATATCCCGTGACAAATTACCATAATTCCGCTATGCTCAGTTTGGAATAAGTACACTATGAATTATTTACCTACTACTCATATGAGTGGTTGTCAAAAAACATTTGTCAGCATAGTTCCTGTGTTTCGCCTTTTGTGGGCAGTGTAGGAAACTTAGGCAAACAGGGAGAACATCCAGTCTGTGCAACTGGGAGTCAAACCCACAACCTTGTGGTGTGAGGTTGCAGTGCTGCCTGATGGATAAAGCAAGATACTTCACACACAAGTACACTTGTAATAATTGATTTTTAAATAAAACTCTATATCTTCTACCTATTATTAGATCAGTGTTTAATGATACTGAAATCCAGCCACAGTAATTATGTGGCTGAATTGACCGACATCAATGGTACGCATGTTAATTTGGCAGAATTCATCTTTAAATGGCAACTTCAATTGTCCTTCTTCTTTTTGTCCTCTTCTGCTATACTGTCCGCACCAGTCATGTGTCTCTGGCCTTTTTATAAGCGAGAGACATTCACCATCATTCTCAGGCCTTATCAGTATTCTTAAGGCAAAGTTTCCTCGCAGGAATTGCTCTCTCTCCTGTAAGACAGCTGCGCTGGACGAGGGTCACAGGAGTTGAGTTCTGGTTAAGCCCCCCCCCCTCCATTAAGCGCTGATGGTTGTGCCTGGTGTTTGTGCAGAGTCTAACAGCCATGGAGACCTCTGACCTGACTGACAGGGGGGTCTCTGGCCCTGTTACTGGTTTTCTCTTTTTTCGACTTGCTCTAATTTTAACCTAATGTCAAGTCCCGTGAGTTAGTGCCCTACAGATGACAAAGGAGATTTCAGACATTAGCTCATTAGATATTTGCATTTGTTTGGGGAGAGACGTCACATTCCTATACACCCTAAGACATTTAGTTTCTGGTGGCTTAGTTTCATGATGATGGCAAAATGCCCAGGGGATGTATTTCTGGCAAAGGTGCAAACTACACTCAAAGAAATTAGATAATGTATGGGTGGGATGAGACAAAAACAGTCTATCTCCAGTTAAGATTGACACCCCGGGGGACCCCCCCTGCAGCCATGGGAGGTGTTTGCTGACACGTACACTGGCAGTTAGGGCATTTACTTATAGATGACATCACCCATTCTGCAGCTGTGGGAGTGTACAGGGTCCAGCCCGGGGCCCTTCTCGCACGATAGGCCTCCCCTGGGATGCTGACCAGCCTGCTGAGAGCTCTGACTGATCGATCTCATTGACAGCCTCATTAAGTGCCTGCCAGAGACAGGCAGCAGAATCACAGTGTTGCATGCTGTTGGCTGGCTCCTGTTGGCAACCGTCCTTAACAGGCATCAGGAATGCCGGCGGCATGTTTGCAGGCCCGCACTCTGCGTGTGCGACGCCGGTGCTTCGCGTCTTCCACGGTTCACGCTAACGCGTTTACGTCCGCAGCAAGTTGGAGCTGGCTCCCCTAGCAGAAACTCATAAATCCTCCCTCTGCTCTCGGCGCTGCATCTCACAGAGCCCACGGGGGGGGGGGGGGGGGGGGGGTGCACTCCATCAGACCTCCCCTCTTTTGTCCACTACCGATGCCCCGACCTGTTTTGTTTACGCCATTCCTCCTGCCTGACACCTCTGCGGATCACTTGAAATATGCAAATCGACGAGGCTCGCACACAGCGCTGGGGGAAACGGCGGCATGAGGCACGGAGATGCACAGAAACAAGCTGCTTTTTAGACTAATGGTACAGTAGCCTTAAACCAGTGGCCCCCCGACGTTACTTAATAACTCAGGGGTAATAAACTGAGGTCATAAACACGGATGGAAACGCGATACAGGTTAGCTGCTCGTCTGCGCTGCCGGCGTGGTGTTGTTGTCGTGGCCGGGTAACATGCTCACCTAGGCGATGGAATGCCTCCGTCGCTGCCTGTCGCAGGCTCTGCATCCTCAGGCTTCTGGCGAACGCCGTCGGGAGTCTCACTTGGATCTAAACATCTTCAGCGCCCACTCGGGCACCACCTCTGGGCACTCATTCCAGCTCAGCTCTGCGTGCAAAAGCTAATGATGGCAGCCTGACAGATACTGCAATCCTCAGATGTTTCCCTCTTCAGGAGTAGACCAAAACAGTTCTCACTCTTAATTCAGCTCTCTCCGTCTCTCTCTCTCTCTCTCTCTCTTGCTCTCTCTCTCTCTCTCTCTCTTGCTCTCACTCTCTCTCCCTCACCCTGGGGATGCTGCACTGTGTCTGTCTCCTGCTGTTGTCGCTGCTGCCAGGAATAGCCACCAACCAATCAGCATGTGAGGAATATCCACCATCCAATCATTGGCAACACAAATAAGAGGGGGGTTCTATGCCAAATTTAAAAGTTTTAAGTGATTCATTTAAGGTGTCATGCTTTCGCAAGACCAGTTTTTAAAAATGTAACAAGAAAGTCTTAAATGAATCTTCTCTTTTTATTGCATTTGCTTGTATCTCATTACACTGAAGGAAATTCACATGAATTATATCATACAGTAGATGTATTGACTTCTCCCTGTGTACAGTGTGTGTATTTTTCTGCAACAAATCAGTAAAGGCAACAGGTGCATTCTATATGTGCAGTCTGCAGGCACTCCTGTTGCATGAGTTTCCTTCTGTTGCATGAGCTTCCTCCTGGTTCACCGGTTTCCTCCCAAAGCTCAAAGACAAGCAGTTATGTGATTGTGCATGAGTCCTTCAGTTGACTTGCATCCCATGCAGGGAATTCTCCTACCTCCAGGCCGCCCTGCCACCCTGTACTGGATGTGGTCTTGATGATGAATGAATGAATGAATGAATGAATGAATGAATGAATGAATGAATGAATTAATTAATTAATTAATGGATGAATGAATGGATGGATGGATGGATGGATGCCTTTATTATCATTGTACAAGATACAACAACATTTGAAGACTATCCTTTCAGTGCAAGAAAGAAAAAAGAAAAAAGGACGGATAGAAAATATAGAAAACATAGGTGAATAGAATATAAAATAAACTGAATATAAACATAAAACAGAATATAAATGAGTAAATAGAATATAAAATTGAATATAAAAGGATTGTGAGGAATAAACATGTAAGCAATGTGAAAACAAATAGATAAAACATGACAAAAAATTAATGTTGAAATAAATTAAATATTATGGTATAGATATTCCTCTCCTGGATGGATGGATGGATGGATGGATTATAGCTTTAACAAAACACAGTACAGTCAAACCTCAGATTGTGAGTAACTTGGTTTGCGAGTGTTTTGCAAGGCGAGCAAAATCTATAAATAAATTTAAACTTGATAAACGAGCGAGGTCTTGCAATACAGTGGAGCAGCTCAGTTTCACTCCAGTATTACGTATTTGCTTTGTCTGCCGAGCGTCACGTGATCACAACTGAGTCGATGGATCTCTCTCTCTCTCTCTCGCTGCGGGATTGTGGGTAATCGTCTCCCATGCTCGACCTCATTCAACGTGCCTCACTCATATAGTAAATATTTAGTAGAAAAGCACCACCCGAATAAGGGCGTAGCAGTGCGAGCGATGAATCTGTTTAATGACAATGCAATGTCACATTTCGGAATCGAAAAGGAGGCAAAAGGGGCTGTCATTGGATAGGTTTCTTGTTAAAGTCGCACAAAAAGAAAAAGATTCCAGTGAGCCAACAGATAGCAGTGATTCCGTTAGTTAAAGTGAAAGTCGTCCTACAAAATAGCCTTCCTCTTCTCCTCTCTCGTCTCCCTCACACCATCCATAATTCTTTTCAAAGGTAAAGTGCAGGTTAATTTGTATTTTGACTTTATATTTTGTATTAATAATTTTTATATGAATATTTTTTGGGTTGCGGAACGAATCATCCGAGTTTCCATTATTTCTAATGGGAGAATTCGCTTTGATATGCGAGTGCTTTGGATTACGAGCACGTTTCCGGAACAAATTATTCTTGCAATCCGAGGTTTTACTGTATAACACAAATTAGTGTGTGGTTTTAACCAGTCACTCTGTTTTTATTTGTTTGGGAGTCACACACTAAGCAGCTAGTTGAATTATTGCTGCTAATGAAATTTGACATTAATATCTATCAGATAGAGCTGAACAATTATTGGTATATAACTAATACAGACAATATTCAGCACTGATAAATCGACCCTTGAATATAACTGAATGTATTACAATCCATGTGTATACTATGCTTGGTCTTTTTATAATATGGAAATCTGAGTTTTCTAATGAGTAATTGTGTGGGGCCTTTTATTGGAAACGGCCCCATTACCAGTGATGGTCCATCCCCGCTTTCTGAATGGGAATCTTCATTCTGTCTCTCTCTTCCCTCTCGGCTAACTTTCGTCTCGCCTGCACCTGAAGGCCCTGGTCCGCAGCAGATGGGCCCCCACAGGTGAGGGTGTATCTGAACAGGGCGTTCGACCCGGACTCCTGGGTGAACACCGTCTGTTTCTACTCTTTGTCTCCCAGCCTCCTAAAGTATTCAGGGTGGAGTTACCTTGACATGTTTCCTAAAAACCAGCTCTTCACGTTCATATAGTTCATTTTATTTTTTAGCTTATGGGATGTTTCCGTGTAAATTACTACAATGTTTATTTGTGCTTCCCATTGTAGTTAAGTAACGTAAGCAGAGGTCTCATTACCAAAGATCATTCATTTGTTTATACTAGTTGAGAAAACGCCCATTTTGTGTTTGTTATTGCCTGTGACATCAGCCACATAATTCCTCACGACTCCCATGGGCAGCTATGAAAAGTGAGCCAACTAGTGTATAAACAATGCCCTTCATGACCCAGGTATACATATTGAGTTAGAGTGACACAATGCGCAATGCCACTATAACTATCATACAGTAGCGACCAGAAGGTGAGATCCTCAGTGCTATTTATTGTTATATATCACACTCTATCTTGTTTTCAATTTCTCTATGAACATGTCAGCAGTTTGACCTTGACCATGTGTGACTGCGAGCACATCTTGCTCAAGAAATTTCTGGGTTTCAGACTGAGAGAGAATTGAACTAAGAATCCCGTTTTAGATACCAGACTCATTAACACTGACATTTACAGTCACCACAAAGAGGTCTGACATTCATGCACTTTTAATCAGAAGGCAGAGTGTAAATCATGGCACATTTATTTGACCTTCTGCGGTTCCTATAATCATCATCTCCCGTTAAAATGCTGTATTCATTGTACTTAGGGACTTCCATCCATCCATCCATCCGTCCGTCCATCCATCCATCCATCCATCTTGTTTCCTACCTTACAGCCACAGCCTCCAAGACAGGCTCTGGACACCCGCGATGCTAAATTGGACTTCTGTTATAAATAAAGGTTCCCCTGAATAGCTTTTGGCAGTAAAAGTGGAGCTGTCTTTTGGTTGGGAATGCTGTTATCTGTATACCTACTCAATAATGCATATTTTCCAGTGACATGAAGAGGGTGAAAGTAAAAATGAATTGATGGTGAGCAGTTGCGATATGACCCAGAGTATTGTTTTTCTGTTACTTTGTGCAGCAGCAATGGTAGAAGGCAAATTTCTAGTGAAGGAAGTCCTCCGAGTAGGTGAGATTCAGAGCAGATACTTCTTGTGAAATAATTTTATTATCCCAGTTTTAAATTATCCCAGTGATTAGCAACACCAGCTGAAAAACTGTGTAGGATGACACTTGTGCACCAGATGTCCTTGACGAAACACTTTGGACAATTGAGACACAGTAATTCATGTGACGTAACTGGCCGGATGTGGAGTGAAGAGGGATCCAGAAGTCCGGAAAAACCCACACAAACACACAAAGTCTGACAAATAAAAACTGTCAAGAAAAATGTTAGAGAATCGGCCACCTGAAGTTTTCTTTTCTCTGTGTGATTCTAAGACATGCACAGTACTGGGACAAATCCTTTACTCTGGTTGAGGAGAGCGCATAGCAGTTATTTATGCACAGAATGCAGCTCAGTTTCACCCTTATTAACACTGTAAAAAAAAAATCCTCTCTGGTCTTGGTGAGTGACCTTGCTTAAAATTATGTCATCAACATATGCTGTTATCCTAAATTTATAAAAGTATCCAAACAAGAGTAACATGCTCTTAGGCAGAAATGACAATGTAGACAATAAAGACTCAAATGGTCAACATGTCAGTGAATAGCTAGCATGTAGTATACAGTATAATATACAATTTATCATAGAATGCAATTGGCATTCATTTAGGAATCCGTAGGAGAAAATGGAGGCAGGTCGTATGTTACTAGCCAAATTAAATTAGATTACCCTAACTGGATTAGCAGTTACAGTAGATGGATGAAATTAAGTCATGAAATGATGAAGACTTCTGCAGAATCCAAAAACTGGCATGCAAAGCTAAAATATGTGTCACTTTAAACGGGAGTAATTTAATCAAACTGAAAAAAAACATTGACCAACCTTCCAAGTGTAATTCACTGGTGTAAAAAAAAAACATTCATGCAATAAAAAGCCTTAAAGGAGTAAGACTACTTCATAATAGTAAGACAAATTCATAGTGGAAACTGCATTAACTGCATTCAATGCTAAAATATTAAGGAAATGATGTAATTAGGGGTATCTGTGTACGTTTCTAGAATTGTAAACACCCTAATTTGGGGGTGGGCAGTTTGAGCCGCAATGGCCAGAGGCTCAGCTGGATTTCATTCCCACTGCACTGTTCATTGATTAGCTTTTATCAGAAATGCATAAAGAGAAAAGATCCATGGGAAGCTGGAGGATGGAACAGGGTGATTTTATTGGCACCCTTGGAATATATGAGGTAGGTGAACTGGTCACCATGCACAAATTAATGTAACTGAAATGAACAAAAAGTAAAGCCAGCAGGCCTTGGGCCTCATGTATAGGCCAAACTGCAGATAGCAGTCAATCAGAGGAGAGTAGAGGGGACAGCACTGCACATGCCCTCCCTTTACATATCCATACCCTCTCTGCATCTCCCATTCACTTAATTCCTACACAAATGCATATGGGGTTCTTAATATCCAGTAGAAGTTGAATAATTGGAGAAGGTTTGGTCAGCAGTGTCAGGTCATGCTCACCAGTGTTCCTCACACAATACATTCGCTACAACATAACTGAAGCCCTACATGCAGTCTGGCTAACTGGCATCCATAGTTCTTCCCGGAACAACTGGGCCTGCAGGGGTGCGGACTGTTGACTCATGCAGCAGCAGGACCACAATTTCAAATGAAAATGTGGAATATTTATGGTATTACCTCCCTCATCCGCCTCCCTGGTATGAATATGCCTAAGGTGGGATGTCTGCATTAAAGCGCCTGTAATCGACAGGGAATCCACAGCAGATGCCATTCTTCTGTTGGCTGACATGTCAGGGGCTGCGTGGAGCTTGTCGGAGGGCTCTGTATGCCCCACTTAAGCCATGTGACGTAATTCAGTCCCGAGGACGTTCCCTGAGAACCAGGAGCAGGTCTTCAGAGGTTGGGGCTGGCTGTGGTCATGATGGAACAGAAACATCCATCCATCTTCTGTAACTGCTTGTCCTACTCAGGGTCAGAGCCTATTCTGGAGGCTACAGGCGCAAAACAGGAGTGGCGATATGAAAGAAGTCTGTGTTTCCTACTCGTTAAATACCATTCATCCTTTTCACAGCCTCAAAAGGAGAGGCAGAATGCCAGACTACGCCACCCTGGGAATTTCACCCAAGGAAATAACTAATCCTCCTCTAACACAATAAGGCAACCAGGATTGATATACGCCCAGGCAGGAGACGCGATACCACTTAACATAACACTTTTATTACACAAACTCTAAAAACACAGCAAAGCACAAAAGCTTCATCCCAAATGACACTAAATAGGAGTGAGGAGCCAGATAAAGTGGGGAATAGATAGTCAAGGCGTAAGAGCCCCGGAAAACAAATAACCACACAGCTCACACACAAAACGCCAACCCCCCCCCCGATACACTAACCCCACATCGGCCAGTTCTAAACACATGCTAAAATGACCCACCACGCACACAAGCGGGAAAAAAAGGACACTCCCAAAAGAGAGCAAAAGAATTCACAACAATATAATAAACACCAAAAAGTTAAAACATTAAATACAAAACAACCACTCAACACAAAACACAATTAATGAAAAGAAACATAAAACCAAAACATAAAAAGGTCCCACAGAGCAGCAGTGGTCCTACAAAGTCCCCGCAACGTTTTTGCAGCCGTTAAATCGTGCAGACACCATCTATTAGAAAAGTAAATACAGTTTATGTGCTACAGCCAAGAAAAAGGGCAAAACCGACAACTTTCAGGTATACATACCACTCAGGCAGCGCCCTCAATCACACGCAAGAGAGGAAAAGACACACCATACCAGTGTCACACTGGGAAAGAGACTGTCCTGTTACGAAGCGGCGTGCACGCTGCCTTCCATCAGAGTTACTGCGTCGCACCGATATCAAAAGCAAACGAACAGTCAATGACAAAATGTAGCCGATAGGAAGCAAAACAGCTGCTGCTGCTACTACTACTGCTGCTACTACTACCTTACTCAGACCGCTGGAAATGGGACGACCCAGAAGTGGGCAGTATCAATGCCGACAAGTCAGAGAATGCCCCCCGCTGGGCACCAAAGCCTTACATAAGGTGCCCTCAGGTGGGTAATTGATTAACAGACTGAGCAGGCAACACACCCCACAAATCAAAGCAGCTCCACGTGCTACACAGGGAACAACCCAGGAAGGGGCACCAGCCCAATGCAGGGCACTTACACCATCACACCATCGGGCAATTTAGTAACTCCAATTAACCTCAGCATGTCATTGGACTGTGGGGGGAAGCTGGAGTACCCAGAGGAATCCCCACAACGACACGGAGAGAACATGCAAACTCCACACTCATGGAGCCAGGGCTGAGACTCAAACACCATCCCAGAGGTGTGAGACAACAGTGTGAACCACTGCGCCACCGCACTGCCCCTGTACCACCGACCCCAACCATTCATTTCATTCCTGAAGGTTCCTCATTACATCACATATACTTCTTGCTTATCACCCAAGGTGTGTATGTTCTGTTTTCTATGTGAACCAAGAACAGAAAGTAGTAAGAAGCTTTGAGAGCCCAGCCAGCCAATGCAGGTGCAGCAGAGCAGAGAGAGCTCTTAGCGGATTAGATGGGATACTGAGGGATTAGAGGCCCCTCTTCCGGGACAGCTCACAGGAAAACAGTGTGTGGGGAACAGGTGCTGGCCAACAGTCGGAAGCAAAAAACCTGCAGTGATCCTCTGTCATCTGCTGCAAATCAGTACATCTAGGGTGCAGTCGGAGGTCAAAAAATGAATCTTGGAGAAGACGTTGGTGGTTGGTGAGTAAGGTTGTGCCCTCGTCCATTTATCAATTGAGCAATTTTTGATTCTGATCCTGGAACAGTGTAAAAATAATCATGGTAGTAAAAACACACACTGTTTTTCTGTTTAAAGGTGGAATACATTCATTTTAAAGTATTACTCCATTCAGTTGTTTGCTTATAGATGTTAATGAGCATTTCATACAAAACCAGAGAGGAATGAAGTCTGGAAATATGGAACATTCATACTCAAGTGTCCAGCTTCAGTTCCTATAACATAAGAGTACAGTAATGATTTCCAAAGTGTGAATCCTTAAGTTTGGTGCAAGCCTTTGACATCGTGGGTAATATTTGCTTTTATGTCTACTTTATATCTGCATCCTTTCTTTGTTATTTTCTGCATTAAAAACAGCATTGTTTATTTGGCTTTTTTAACAGAAATGACCCTGGGACTGAATCCGGTGAAGGGACATACCGCCCGCAGTGTGCCGTCTGTCTGCCAATATTCGCGTCAGTGACAGCAGGAGATCTTTGCATAATATTCAGGTCATTTTTCACGCCCTTACAATATGAACATTTTAACACCAATATATGCTTTACACTTGGATGCAATAGTTTTTATTTTTTAGTTTTCCTGGAGGTACGTCATTTTGAGTTACATTAGTATACATTTAGTATTTAGTTATCTGTTATTTAGTATAATTTGCCATTAAGTATAGATCAGAATCACCATTTAAACACTGAGGGGTTCCTTTAATCAGACCCAGAATAACCTCCTGTTAAATCACGCTGAGTTATTAGATTCATTGCTGCTGGTATGACATATGAATTAGCATTTAATCTTCTGTTTTGTAGGGGCATGTAAGTGCACAGTCATTTATTTCCTTTTAGCCTGATTTAAGTGAATCTTCAGTCTGCTGAACAAGCAAAGAGTGTATTTCAGTTGCAATTTTTCCCATCCCATATAGACATAAAAAGTCTGAACGTGTGCCTGTTTCCCTCTAGTTGACTTTCACGAAGGCATCACTGAGAAGGAGTGGATTCTTGGCACCAAAGATCTACATAGTCAGCATTATGAGGCAGGCCAGGGACGTCAAGTCAGTATCACTCCGTGAAGATGGTGAGCACTGATTGGTAGTTATTCTTATCATGTGATTTTGGACTTCATTGCCCAAGGTCCAGCAGCATGGTGGCTCAGTGGGTGGTACTATTACCTCACACCTCTAGGGCTGGGGGTTGTAATCTTCCTTTGTATGGATTTTGCATATTCTTTCCAAGTTGTATCTTCAGGTTGTCCAGTTTCCTCCTGTAGTCCTCAGACATGCAGTTTGGTTAATTGGAGTCTTGAAATTATGCCCATCAATGGACTGGCATCCCCTCCAGGGTGCACCTCTACCATTGCTGCCTGAGTGGCTTCCCTTGTAACACTGTCCAGGATAAATGGCTGGAAGATGGGCTGATGGATTTTAAGGGTTGAATGTTGCACCATGTTGCTCTGAGGTCATTGAAATATGTCCTTCAGGCCTGACTCAGACCTTGGCCAGTGTAGTGGAGGAAGTGAAGCTCTCCGTCAGCAGGGATCTCAGCGGAGCCGACCTCCTCTACAGCTTGCTGAGTGCCCCATGGCTTAAGTCTCTGCTTAAGGTCAGCCCACGGCAGCATCAATCACCGCTTTTATGGACCAGATGTGTCACTCACTTTTTTCCATTAGTCCACATTCAGGCTGAACACAAACCCTGCCTCTGTAGTTTATATTTAATTTGTCAATGTGCGTCAATTAGAGTACTTAAGCAGGTATGCAGTCTTTACCAGGACATCTGTTTGTCCTCCCCCCAGGTATATGAGCGCCTGCAATGGCACATGAGGGCCCCCCCTAGCCCATATCTCCCTTTTGCCTCAAGTCTCTCCCACCAGGTCAGTTCTCACTTCAACCAGTAGAGGGAGTCATACTAATCTGGGCTTGTGGTAGGCTTGGTTGCTCTCTGGCACCGCTTGTCTTACCCCGTTGTATGGGTAAGGCCTTGTGTGACATCACGACTCTAATATGTAATAGATGATGGCTGACCTGCGAGGGGTCGCAGCCCCATCCCTGGAGGCCAGACAGCTCTACAGATTGCTCAGAGATCCTCATCTGCAGGTAAGTGGTGGAAACAGAGCATAACAAGAGGAGCAAATCAGCACTGTGAATATACTTTGCCCTGTAGTCAGGGTCAGTTTGCAGTTTTGGTTTGTTTTAAACTTCTCCCAGCATCAAAAGCAATATTTTCCACCTATGTAGCTAGAGCAACAGTGTATTTATTGTGACATTAATATGAGGGCGGACTGCTTTTACAAGTCCGTCATTAGTCCGTTCTGTCCATAGGCATTTTTATCTGCCCATGACATTGTGGCCCAGAAGAAGTATGGACCGGTGTTGCATCCTCTCCCAAACAATTTGCCGGATGATGAAGAGGCTTTTAGAATTGTGTGCCTCGTCAAGAACAATCAGCCATTGGTGAGTTCTTGTTTGCCAAATCAAAGGATCTACTTGTGGGACAAAAGTTCTTTGTACAAACCGTTACATAACATTTCTGTAGTCATTCGTGTAATATTTGAAATAATTAACATGGCAGTTTGGGATTTTCTTTAAATTCTGGCCCAATCACAGGACGCAATTTACTGACCAGCACAATCTCGCTAATGGGGGACCTTTCATGTCAGCCAAAGTTTTGTGGCATCTGGGTCCAGGTCCCGCTGTTTCCCAGACCTTGCTTATGCCACACAAGGCAAACGTTTGAAGAACAATTTAAATGTTTCTCCAAGAAGAGTCTACCTGCTGTTCAAAGAGAAGGGTTAGTCTCCTGCCGTGGCCAATACCTTTCTCCATCTGCTGTGCTGTCACAAGATGACAGCGACCTTTAAAACATGACGACAAAGCAATGTATTGTGGGATGCAGGATGTAACTCTTCTGTCTCTATCTTGTCTACAGCTTTCAAATCTTTGTAATTATCCAAAAATTAAGTTTTTTCTCCATTTCCATCAATTTTGCCCTGCTTTACACTCAACAGTCCATTATAGCCATTTAGCATGTTGTGTCTTCCCTGCCGGTTTCCATGGAGGGTACTGTCGGTGTAGCCTTAGCACAGGTGGCCAGGATTCTGCCTTCCTTTGACATTGTGCACTGACGCTGGGCACTTTGCCATCTGGAGAACCTCCTGCCCAAAGGACGCAGACTGTAGACGTGCCTATTGTGTGGCCTCTCTCATTAAGCAGTAATGAATGCAGCCATTGTTTGTATTTGTTGTTTCATTTGACAACGGAAGTAGACTCTCTGGTCAATAAGAAGTTTCTCTTTTACGCAGTTCTTTGGAAGACCATCCATCCGTCCTTTTTCCATAACCGCTCATCAAATGTTAAGCCCGGGTTCTATCGTTGGACACACAGCGTACAGGGCAGGGTGCCCCTGGCCAGTCCATCAAAGTCTTTTCAAAGCTATTGTAATAAATAGCCCATTTCCTTAATTGCAATATGATCAATTTTGTTGGGCCAATTTAAACAAAGAGACGATTATGATTCTGGATGGAGCTAATTAGCATAAAACAACACAGGGGAGATGGCACAGATCCACTCAGATTAATCTATCTCATGTGGTAGTGGGCCAGAATGAGTCATCACTTTCCGAGGGACGGTCACCGCCTCACCGCAGGGTGGTATGAGTGTTGAACTCTGCATGGTATGAGTGCTGCAGAAAGAAAGCATGCTTTTCTTGGAAAGCCATTTTTTTTCCTTGCTTCTTGCGCAAGTTTTATTCACATTTGTTGTTACCTGTTTTTTTTTTAATTTTCACATTAAAGCTGTAAAAAGTATACGGGAAATATTCCTGAAGCACTCTACTCTAGCTTTCTGTCTACTTCTGATGAGAGATTCAGGTTCGGTGTCTCTGTTTTCCAGGGAGCTACGATAAAGAAGAACGAGCTGACGGGAGAGATTTCCGTGGCCCGAGTGATCCATGGCGGACTCGCAGACCGCAGCGGTCAGTCCACCTTCACTGCCCTTCTACACTCTCTCATGGTCTTTGTATTTCTCTGTGGCTGACAGGTCATGTGGATAGTATGATCTGTATCTGTGGTGTCAGGTTATACGCATTAAAATGTTCATCAAGGGTTGGGTTGCACATACTGTACAGCGGCTGTAGATTTGCTTCGCAGGTGAAATCTGATACTGTGCAGATTTATTGCTGATCCGTATTTCTGATTAAATGTAACTTTTTCTGTTGTGATTAATAACACAGGTCTACAAAAAAAATTTTCAGGTGCCAAGGTTTTTTTTAATAGATTTAGGGTATTTTGAGGGTGCCGAATTAAAAAATCCTGTAACTTTTGCTGAATTGTTTCTAGTTTTTGAGATAATGGACATCCATGAAAATAATGCATTCCCCCAATGCGACTTGTGTGTGATAACAAATGCAATATCTTTTGGTCTGTCTTTTGACTCTTTAACAGTGTCTTAGGTAATGAAATATCCCATATAATTGTTTTGTATTTCAATTTGTAGGCCTACAATGGTATAAAAGCGACTTTTTGAAGCCAGAATTCAACTGTGAATTTGCAGAGGAAAGAACTCGGCTGCAGTATAAGTTTGTCAACCCAGTCTTGGTTTATACCCAAAAAGTTCTGTCTAAATAAGTACATAAATACATTTGGGAGTTAATATGAGCATAAAGATACATAGCCATTTAATCAGATTTCCAGATAACTTTGGAGACTTCAGCAAGGAACAAGGCGAGAGTTTCCACCAGGATATGAAGGTGATGCAGGAGAGATATCAAGGCAGATGGGGCATACACATTTTCCTGTCACTTATAGATATTTTTAATAAATTTTTTTGTATGATGTTAGACTGTTTACTTACTAGTTGTAACTAAAATAAAAATATTCTTGCAATTCTTGCAATGCTTTTCAAACGTGTTGCGTTAGTTCATTAATTAATTATCTATTAAATATCTCAGATATCTCAGTCCAGCCCTCAGTCAGGGCTGGACTGGAACTAAAAAATGGCCCTGGACTTTAGTGTCCCCTACGGTAAAATTTCCCAAGGGGGGAGATCCCCACCACAAATTTTGCCTGCCTACCTATCGGCCCACCAGGAAAATGCCTGATATTCCAGATGACCAGTACAGCCCTGCACGTGAATGTATAGAACCTGCCTCTCTGTGTGATGCAGGTCTGCTCTACGCCGGAGACAAAATTATGGAGGTGAATGGGCAGCCAGTGGAGGGCCTGGAGCCAGAGCAGATTATAGAGATCCTGGTGAGGGCCCTCGCATGCCTCTGTATGTAACCGTATTAGCTCACTTCGTTTCTTACAGCTACTTGCATTAGTGTACAGGGTTTCATGGTAAGTCAATAAGAACAAATAATACAGAGAGCTTCACAGTCTGAAAAAGTGCCCATTCTGTGAGCTTATCTGGTAACCCTCTGATCTCCGATCCTTAGACTTTACAGACTTTATAAACTTTGATTTTCTTTATAAACTTGTTGTATATTCAGGCACAATCCCAGGGGACCATCACGTTCAAAGTGGTGCCCATGTCAGACCGGCCAGTGAGCAGCCAAACTTTGGTGAGCTTATATACACGCTTGTCTTGGCCCCAGCTATCATTTTAAAACATTCCTATGTTGTTCCTTTTATATCTTTGTTTTGCCTTATAATCTGACTTGATTTCTGCACTTTGCTGTCTAACAGGTCTATGTCAGGGCAATGATAGATTACAGCCCATTGCAGGACCCTGCTATCCCATGTGTGGATGCCGGCATGGCCTTTCGAAAGGGAGATGTGCTGCAGATAGTGGACCAGACAGATGCCCTCTGGTGGCAGGCCAGGAACATGCCAAGCAATTCATCCTGTGCTGGCCTCATACCCTCCATTGACCTGCTAAGAAGGTGCAGGGAGCACTTTACTATGGCATAAGTGCCATTACTGGTCACTATGACACCACATATCCAACACTTACATACAGTACAGTGTTATGTCAGTCTTGTGCCTTTCACCATGGCTGTATCTAACACTGAGGACACCAAGGTCAAGTCCTCAGTATTTTTTCTGCCACTCCAATAACTACGATCCATTATGGGGCACACCAAGGAAGGGCTAACACACTTGAACTCAGCATTTTAAAAACCCTGGCTATAGTCCTGCATTTCACATAATATTCAGACATACTGAGACACCAGTATCTTACAAACTTGCAATTGCTGATATTTACAAGCCTTTCCTAATTTAATGTGTCATATAATGTATGTGCATATTCCAATTTTATGTGCACCTGTTTGCTGGAGGTGTGTACCAGTCCTTGCATTACAGTATTTAAGTATTGTTGCATTTTACTTATACAGTTAGTGGTCCTAATATTTTATGGCATTCTGAACATTTAGCGGCTCATATAAATCGGTCAGCTTGATTTGACTTTGATTTTCCTTGTTCGATCAGAAGACAAAGGGAGATGTGGTGGTCACAGGCTTTGCAGCCGCACACCTGCACTCCAGTCTGTGAGTTGGCACTATTCTCTCACACCTCTCGGTTTCTCCGCCCCCCGTCCTCCATCCTAACTCCTCTCAACACAAAGACAGCATATGGTAGAGACAGCGGGGCTTTCCCGTGAGAGTACTGGTCCTGCTGTCTCTGTCCTTTTCCGTGAACCTAACACCACCATGCCCATGGTCAAAGCATTCCAGCCAATTAAACTGCTACTCACCGACATTACAAAGACGTGTTTTATTTTCTCTATGTCCTGTGGACCTCAAGTGAACAGCGTCGACAAAGGTGAGTGTCTATGGGTTTGCATAAATCAGTGTACATCATCCAGTGTGAGTGTCTACGGGTTTGCATAAATCAGTGTACATCATCCAGTGTGAGTGTCTACGGGTTTGCATAAATCAGTGTACATCATCCAGTGTGAGTGTCTACGGGTTTGCATAAATCAGTGTACATCATCCAGTGTGTACTGTTGATATCTCTTCGACAATAGCAAATATGTTTCAAACCTGATGTTGAAATAGTTTCGAAACCACATAAAAAAATTCATGTAAAAACTTTCATGTGAATCACTTAAGAACCTGTTTTATTTTGTATTGCAGATGAAGACCTAGATGACGTTTGTTTTGAAGCAGGTAAATTACCTTGTTGTACATGTTGTACATGAATGTGTATAAGTGTCCATTAGCGCACGACTGTCTATCTTTTCATTTGTTTCTGATCAGACGTTAACCTTGGGCACACATTGGCTAAAGCTAGGTCATTTCATGTAATTGTAATTCATGCAATTGGCAAATGATATCTGCTTTTGTCATTGGTTGAAGGTCTCAGAAATGCCTACCATAGCACTAGAAACTTGGCCTGATTGGCTGTTTAGAAAGTCAGCTGTCTGCAGGCATGTTTCTTTTCATACTCTGGAGGCAGCAATGTTTGTAACATGGCCTCTCTGCCTTGCTTCTTGCTTACAGAGGAGGCTGAATGTAGCAGAAATTCTGAAGGAATCTATCTAGGTAGGCATGTAGTCTTCAAGGTTCGGATATAAGTGAATAAGGTGATTTAAATACAGCATAGCCGTTTTTATTTGCTATGTAAAGTGGACTGTAAAGCACACATTGCTTCCTGTAGTTCATCTCCATGTGGAGCATTGTTGTCTTACATTGGTGGGGTACATTTCTGAGTATTTGTGTGCAATGATGGATGTATAGTCAAGTAACACGGACAGCCGGTCGACCTTTGCAGCCGGGTTCCGGCGCAGCCTGCGCCTATGTCAGAGGAAGGCACGCAGGTCTCGCATGCAGGCATGCAACGCTCGCTGCCTGAGCAGCTGCTACAGCTCCCTGGCTAACCCCTACGAGGAGATGATGCGCTTCCAGCGGCAGCGCGAGGACAAGCCGCGCCTCATCGTCCTCATGGGTGAGACTCTGTTCAGACATGAGCACACGGGGGGTATGTATTTTCGCCACCGTGTTTTCAGGGTATTTGAAAACACTATGTGCAAAAAGATTCAAAAACGTGTGTGTGTGTGTCTCATCTGCTCAGGCCCGCAGAGTGTGGACATTAACAAGCTGCGGAGAAGACTAATTGCAATCGACCCTAAGACTTACCAAGGACCCGTGCCACGTGTGTATTGATGGTCTGTGTGTGCGCTGTGTGTTTCTCTGTAGGCCAAGGCCTGTGCTGGTGACTGATCATTCATTCGGTTATGCTTTGTTTTATTGTTTATATTGTATACAATAGCTCTGCTACTCACCTGTTCATTGTGTGTGTAGGTGTGTATATAACAAAGCACAGCAATGGCCTAGTTCTTATGACGTTAGGTTTTGTTTGCTAAGCTAAAAAGCGAAATAGCTGTTCTGCATGTTGCTCAGTTCGCCTCGCTGACGCATCCCAGCGGCGCTGATAAGCTGTGTCTCCCTGTCCTGTGCATCTGTACACCGTTCCAAAAAAAGGGTTTTTCCAGGTTTTTTTTAATGACAGTGCCACTTCTGTCCCTGACACCCTGCACAATAATAGGTTACTTGAACTTGGTTTTTTGTTGACTTGAAATGTAAGAGTTTGTCTTTCAGCAGCTTTTCTGGTTGTTTTTATCAGACACAACGCGGCCACTCAAGTGCTTTGAGAAGTCTGGAAGAGAGTACCACTTCATCAGCAGAGAGCTCTTCGAGAATATGCTGTACACCCACAGGTATTGCATTGTTCAATGATCAGGCTATTGTTATGTATCTCTGACTTTCCATTCATCGATCTTCCAAGTGCTTATCCAGCAGAAAGGGACCGTTTCTGCAGGAGTGTAGGCAGTACTGGTTATTGCCCATGTAGAGCTTCATGTAGGCTTCACTGCCAATACGCTCTGTCTGAGGCAAAGTGAAATTGGCTTGCTAAGTTGGCAACCCCCTTGAGGAGGGTGCCCTAGGCGGCCATCGCTTTCACCAAATGGGTTGACCGACACTGAGTGTGGAGCATTAGACAAGGGAATGCCCACAATGGAATGCCAGTCCATCACAGGGCACATGCTCGCATGTCATGAGCCTTTCAGATATCAGCGAACCTTTTGAAAGTTTTGCTGTTCAAAGAAGGTTATAAATTTACAACTGAAAACAGTACATTCCATATCTGGTCAGCACCGTGGTTTTATGTGTACAGTTATAGTTGTCTGAGCCAAATTATTTTGAATTAAATTCTAAATGTATCTCTCTTTTTCACCTAAGGTTCTTGGAATATGGGGAGTACAAAGGGCATCTTTACGGCGTAAGCATCACTTCAATCAGGAATGTCCTGGACAGCGGGAAGATCTGTGTTGTTGACATAGATCCACACGTGAGCAGAAGCAGATCAAAAAAGGCACTGGTTGTGCTGCCATTTGTTCTTTCTGCAGTAACTATTTCGATTCAGTTTTATCTATATAGTGCATTTTCGCAACATTTCATTGTCTTAAAGCTCTTCACGTTATCCCTGCCCAGTGCCCCCTGAGAGTAAGCCAGAGGTGACAGTGGCAAGGAAAAACTTCCTAATAGGAAGAAACCTTTGGAGGAACCAGACTCAAAGGGGGAGCCCAATCTCCTGGGGCCGGCAGAGGAAATCCCGATTTGTTAAGTCTTGGTGTAAATGTAGAATCACTGACAACAGGGCAGACAGGAGAGACATCACAGGCAGGAGGGAAACTAGACGTATTGTGTATTACAGGGACTACAGGCCATTAGAACGCATGAACTCAAGGCTTACATCATCTTTGTGAAGTCGCCTAGTGCTGCCCGCATGAAGCAAACTCGCGCAAAAGCCCAGAATGCTGACATCCCTCCCTCCAGGGTGAGCATTCTTATGTCAGACATCGTTCAATCTGGTTCCAATTGATCTTACTGTAAGGATTTCATAAAATATTTTCAAAGTCATTTTGTTGGGTGACAAGTGAACTTAGGCATATTGCTGAATTGCATGGTATCACACTATTTTATTAAATCCTGTGACATGGATGTAATATTGTTGTTCTGATACTGCCCTCTGGTGGAGCTGTATAAGAATACACCTGTAATAGTGTGGTGTAGTTACTCTTTGTCGATGCCTGTTTTCCACAGCACCACTTCAGCACGAAGACTCCATTCTAAAAAAAGTTTATTTACGATGAGCTACTCATTCTTGCGGTCATCTGTTGAATGTTTTTCAGAATGCAGACATCAATGTGGTTGAAGAAGCAGCAAAGATGGAGTCTTTTTACTGCCAGTTCTTTGATGAAGTGATTGTGAACAACGGAGTGCAGGACTCCTGCCTGGAGCTGCTGGAGGCCATTAGGCGTGCACAGGAGGAGCCCCAGTGGGTCCCGGCGAGCTGGCTCCGCCACACAGCAGACTGCTAGGCAGAGAGGCTGCCATAACAGGAAGGACAGAGAAGACAGGCCATGTGGGATGAGTAGAAACTGTAGGGGGAAAGAGCAAGTGTGGAATAACAAAGGTAGAGGAACATAAAGAATGAGGATATAATCCATTAACACAACAAACACGCAGGGTGATCATTGAAGTTTCATTCATTCTGTACAATAAAATGGTATGCCCCTGTGATAAAATTATTTCATTCATTCTGGAAAAGCTAATATGACAGTAGGTATTGGTAAACATGATAACTCAGAGAAACATCCAGATATGTTCATATAGGATATGGATATTGTGAAACCTTGGTGGGATAATAAATAAATATACAATAAAAATGATTTCATACTCATTACTGTATTTCAGATCTTCCTAAATTTCATTTTTTTTTCATGACAATGTGTGTATGTTTTAAAACAGATTTGTGCTTTTAAAAAAACTAGTTCAGTTTTGCAACTGATTTAAGACATTGACTATAATATACACAATATGGACAAAAGTATTGGGACACACCTCTCAGTCATTGAATTTAGGTTGTTTCACTGAGACCCTTTGGCACAAATGTATAAAATCAAGCACCTAGCTTGCAGTCAAGTTTACAAACATTTGTGAAAGAAAGGGTTGTTCTGAAGAGCTCAGTGAAGTGTGATAATGTCATAGGGTGTCACCTATGCAAATAAGCCAGTTTGTAAAACTTCTTGCCTGCTAGATATTCCACGGTCAACTGTAAGTGGTATTATTGCGAAGTGGAAGTGTTTAGTAACACAAAGTGGGAGACAGAGTGACAGACCGGGGTCACTGAGTGCTGAGGTGCATAAAAGTGCGTAAAAATTGCCAACACTCTGTTGACTCAATAGCTGCAGAGTTCCAAACTTCCTCTGGCATTAACCCCAGCAACTGTGTGCCGGGAGCTTCATGGAATGGGCTTCCATGGTCGAGTAGCTGCATGCAAGCCTCACATCACCAAGCGCAGTGCCAAGCGTCAGATGGATGGGGTGTAAAGCACGCTGCCACTGGGCTCTGGAGCAGTGGAAACATTTTCTGTGGAGTGACAAATTACACTTCTCTGTCTGGCAGTCTGATGGATGAGTCTGGGTTTGTCGGATGCCAGGAGAACTTTACCTGTCTGACTGCATAATGCCAAATGTAAAGTTTGGTGGAGGAGGGATAATGGTATGGGGGTGTTTTTCAGGGGTTGGTCTAGGCCCCTTAGTTCCAGTGAAGGGAACTCTTAATGCTTCAGCATACCAAGACATTTTGGACAATTCTGTGTTTCCAGCTTCGTAGGAACAGTTTGGGGAAGGTCCTTATCTGTTCCAGCATGACTGTGCCCCAGTGCACATAGCAAGGTCCGTAAAGACACGGTTGAGTTTGGTTTGGAAGAATTTGACTGACCAGCACAGATCCCTCACCTCAACCCCATCAAACACCTTTGGGATGAACTAGAATGGAGATTTTGAGTCAGGCCTTCACGTCCAACATCGGTGCCTAACATCACAAATGCTCTTCTGGATGAATGGGCAAAAATTCCCACAGACACACTCCAAAATCTTGTGGAAAGTCTTCCCAGAAGAGTGGCAACGGTTATAGATGCAAACCAACTCCATATTGATTCCTGTGGATTTAAAATGGAATGTCATAAAAGTTCCTGTGGGTGTAAGGGCCAGGTACAGAGGCCCTAAATGGACATACAATTTAAAATGTAAAAAAAATTACAGTATCTGGTGCGCACCAGTTGGTATCTGGGGTGTACCAGATATTGTAAAAAAACATTTATCACCTATGTCCCTTTAGGGGCTCCATAGCCAGGTCCATATAGTGCAGGGGTGCCCAACTCCAGTCCTGGGGGGCCAGAACCCTGTACATTTTTGTGTTTCCCCTCATTTAACACACCTGATTCAACTCCTTGTGCTAATTACCACACAGCACTTGAGCTGAATCATTTATGGTGAAACAGGGAACGAACTAAGCTACACAGGGCTCCGGCCCTCCAGGACTGGAGTTGGGCACCCCTGATATAGTGTATGAATATTATTTTTTTATTATTTAGTTACCAAATTATTTTCCAGTGTGACACGTACACATTTTCTCTATATGCTTATGAGTATTTCGGAGGAGAGCTGTCTTTAATATGTCTTTAATTGCGATATGATAAATCGTCACCCAATATAATCTGAAGTGCGCTGTATCACTATGCTTTATGTATATACTTAGGAAATTACGGTAGCAGTTGTCTAGTTGCGCATATATTTGGAGACATACGAAAGGCAGTGATTTGACACGGAAGTAAAGTAATCCCTACCTCTTTCTACATCTCCAATGGCAACAGTCAGCAACACCTTGGTAACAGGTGTTTGCATCGTTGACATTAAGGGGATTGGTTTCCGTTGGTTATAGTACCTAATTTGGCTAACGTTTTCTATGTGTTTTATTCGTTGTGTGTATGCTGTATAATACTAAATGTCAACGATGGAAAATGAAAAAGCCCAGGTAAGAAGCTAGCTAGCTAATTGTCACATGCATGGTAACGAGGCAGAGTGTATGTTTTGTTAGCTGTTGCAACAAACAGTTCGTTAAGTGCATATATACATAAAATTGCGTAAAAATCGCCAATACTCTGTTGACACAATAGCTGCAGAGTTGCAAACTTCCTCTGGCATTAACTCCAGCACAAAAACTGTGTGCTGGGAGCTTCATGGAATGGGCTTCCATGCCTCCCTTTCATATCACTGAAGGAAAAAAAAAATAAATAAAAATAATAATAATAATAAATATATATATATATATATATATAAGGTTTTTTTGTTATTGAGTTTTTGATATTTTAATCAGTTATTACATAGTACATAGTAATTATTCATATGGGGATGGCATATTATTTGTTCAATCTATGGAGCTGGAAAATAGCTTTAAAACAATATGAGGTCCATTTCTGTGCAGCTTATATTAAGGTAAATATAGCCAGTCAAAGTCATAGTCCCCTCCCCCCCAAAAAAAGTTAAAACTTTGTTCGCTTAAATCTCCCTCAATATTGACCCAAGACACGCCCAATTTCAGATTCATGAGTTACTTATGTGACCAAATCAGCATGCCAAGTTTCGTTAAAATCCATGATGATGAGGTCCGAAAGTGTGATGATTTGACATGGAATGACCCCTATACATGTGTTCATGTCAGGTATTCCTTATCAGCAGACATCACTTTCTCCAGAATCTGACTGGCTGCATGACTAAATGAAGCTGTTTTCCTTGTGTCTGGTGTTGTTTTTGTGACTCTCACACTGTAATTGTTTTACACAGCCTACAAGGACACCGCAACCAGTGACCAATCAGCATCTGCCTCCAGTAAGTCAGGTGTCACATGTCAGGTATTGCTGCCTTTGAGGAAAGTGTATTTTGCTAGATAGTTTAATATGTGAGAGAAAAAAAGACAAAATATCAGATGGTATGTAAATAAGCCTCCATAAACTGTTTGAAGAAGGTCCCTGGTCATTATACTCCCTCAGTCTGAGGATTGAAGGAAGTACATCTCCTTTATATATTTTCACTTGTATATACATGTTTGTGCCATGCCTGTGTTTCACACTTCAGCAAGAAAGTTTTAAAAGGTATAAAAATGTGTAATGTGCACAGTATTTTAAGCTTTCTTTTCACAGTACCTTGGTTATCTGTCTATGCTGTAAAACATTTTTATATATATGTGTGTGTTAATTTACACGAGTCATGTATACTATTTATTGGAGTTATTTGCATTATTCAGTAATTTTAACATTACTCCTAGATGCTCAGTGGCCAGCACTATAGCTTTACTCCTGCCTGTTTTGATTAGTGTCTTTGTGTATGTGTTTGTATTGAGTTTACATGTTCTCTTTATGGATATCACAGTTTCTAAAGCTTTATAAACTATCTGTGGTGATTGTTTGAGTGGTGTGGTTCTGGAACATGAATTAATGGAGAAATAAGAGGGAAGTGGAAGCCTATGCACTTGAGAGACCAGTCATCTAGTACACATGTAGGAACTGGATATGCTTCTAATAGCTGGTTTTATATCTGATGCTGGAAAGTGTCAAGGGCAGGGGTTGCTTTTGTGATGCTCTTTCCAGCACGAAGCGTCTCTCTCCTTGCTTACTTTCCTCCCCACGAGTCACTGAACCCCGAGTGTGATCTACAGCACAGTAATCCCTGACATGTGGCTTTAGTCAGGGATTACGCCCTGTTCCAACCCTCTGAACAGTTTGGTAGTCCGATTCCCCAGTTATTCCTGGAGGAGAAGTAGGGCAGAACAAGTGGTAAGTCCCCTGTGGTCTTACTCAGTGGTCTTTAGGAACCAGAGGAGTAGTATTTGATGAGATCTTCTGGGGTTTGATTCTGTTATGAATTGGAGGAAATGCTGATTATATACATTTTAAGGATGATCTCATTTCCTTGTCTACAGGTACTCCGTGTTGCATTCATGCTGTCCTTTTGTTTATGTCTTGTCAATGGCAAATCTATCTGGCTAGAATTTCACTATAAACAAATAATTAAAATAGTGGAAACAAAATGAAGTCGGACCTGCTATTATGTAATCAGTGATGTGAAAAATAAAGTCAATACTAAACTGAAAGGTAATACCACTGTGATTCACATGTGCTGCTAGATGAAAGTCTGCCTAAGTCAAATATTTAAATGTAAAGATTAGTATATTGTCTCGTGACCCTGACCAGGATAAGCAATTAGAAATGGAAGGATTGATTAGTTTATAAGCGTCCACATCTGTTTGCTGAGGTAGATGTGGGTGACTACTGAGAGTATATGCCATGTTGTGCTTAGTGGGAATCAGTTGTCTTCATTTTGTTGGATACAACATGTGAGGAAAGACCTTGCTGGTATACACAGTGCTGATGTCCACACTGTGTATCTGTCACTAAAGGAGCTTCCACACCAGGGTGCTGCTGTGTGTCTACTAGTGGGCTCTCTAGAAATCCCAGCATGTACACCCACAATTTGGCAGCATCACGTGTGTTTCTCTGGTGGGGTGGATTCAGTTGGTTTGGTCCACACACATTCCAGGCAATAGCATTACATTCTTGCTGGCCATTTTATGCTGGGGGGTCCAGTTCTGTGTGGGAGGGTTTCTTCACATATGCCAGTCAGTAGCTGGAGAGGTTCTCTGAGGCACAGTGAGTTGTTTATCTTAACTGCATCACGATCTCTGATGTAACTAGGTCATGTGTCGCCTCTTGGTTTTTGTGTGTTTTTCTGCGTAATTAACAAAATGATACCATGCTGTAAAACAAGGTCTTCTGTTCTGGCATGAAATGCAGCTGTAACTCTTGGGAAAATATCTTATTTTTTGGTTTTTCTCAGTTGCCATGGTTTTCCTTATCCTTGTGCTTACTGTGAAGTGCTGAGACTCCCAGCACTGTACTGTGTATGTGGCCTAATGCAGGGATTTTGGCCTTTGCAGCTCTTTTCTCTTTGTTGTTTCAGCTTCGACCACGTGCACTGCCACTCATGCCAAGGTATTGATTTATATAATACATCAGACGTAGCAACGTACATTTCCATGTATTTTAAAGTATGGAGTTCAACAAATAGTATATTCCATTTTGCCTGAATCTTACTGTGAGATGCGCCTAAGAACATTTATTTTGCACACAATCTTGTCCAAAATGACATACAAGTGAAGAGGATAATAACCACAAGCATACATCTGATAGAGATCCAACTGCTAGCTTCAAATGACCAGTAACAAGTGCAAGGTAGTATTCCTAAACAGTCATAATCTAATGTTTGAAAAGCTATTCAAGTAAACAGCACTAAAAGCTATTCGGAATTAAGTCTACATGCAGTAATAAAATGGAACGTTCAGTAAAGCTAAGCAACTGTCCATTCAGTGGTAGGATGTTATTTGAGGTGTTTGTGGAAGAAATGGCATTTTACTGTTCCTTGAAGTTTATGAGGGTCTGGATTTTGTTAGGTGGCATCTTCCACAACCAAAGGACCATGCATGAAAAATATCTAGTGCAAGGAGCGTTTTGCTCTTGGGAGTTTTACTTATACAAAAAAGTTCTGAGGGTAGAACGAAAAATGATTGGTTCATACAGATAACCAATCAGATTGTAGAGGATGCAGGACCAAGACATCTGATTGTCTTGATATCTGAGATAACCAATGATTTTTCGTTCTGCCCTCAAGAGTTTGGTGCTATACAGAGTAACACAATCTGTATTTATCTCTTCTGAAAACCCACAAAATGCTTCTGCTGAAAGCAAATGTATCAAAATTGATACCTGCATTGATTCTGATTAAAAGAGGCATAATAAGAGAAAGTGTTTGTACAATTAAAACTGTAAAATTGCCATAAAATATATAATTATTACTACTGTGTTTTTATTTATGTATTTCTCTGAATATATGCACGTGCGTTTAGGAAGATGCCTTGCTACAGTAAAATGAAAAATAACACACATTGTAAATCTGGGGGCAAATTAAATCTTTTTAGTGCCTAATCAGAGTTTTCTGGAGGCATGCCTGGCAGTCTGTATAGTTAAAATAAACTTATTTTGTGTAAAGAGTAACAATAATTTATTTGCAGGACGGTGCCCTAAATGTGCTGAGATCCTGCTGGATACTTGGACAGAAAGGCACATTGGCTACCATAAAATACTATTTTGAGCTGTGCCACCGAGCTGATTTGCCAGATAATCCATAGCTCTGAAGAGCTATATCAAGCTGATGTCAAACTTCAGTTTCTCATCCCTGTGCTGTACAGTCAGACAGTCAGTTCATATAGCAAGTAATTCATAGAGAATTCCCATTTGAGGCTGGTGATCAATCAATAAGTGACAAAGAAAATCACCCATAGGAAACTGACACTAGACCTGTCTGTACTAAACTTACTGGCACATTTGTCTTTTGTGCTCCTGTTTCATGCTTGTCAACAAATAGTCTGGACATGGGAGGTAAGCACACTTTTATTGGTAATTATGAAACCAACATTATATGAGCTGCTCCTAGCACATGTATTAACTGAAAAGTTGTGGTTATACTCATTTAGTTTCATAACTCTTGTTATACTCAGCTAGCCCAAAATTAAGTGTCAGATCAATCCCAATTTTTGTTTTCAAAACAGCTGAAAATGAAAACAATGACAAACATTTTCCTTTTGTACGCTTTTTATTGGTGTCTCTCATATAAAGACATTAGGAACAGGGTTGCTATCAAGTTAAAAATGTGTTTGTTTATTCAAAGCCATGAATTATCAACTGAAACAGATAGTTAAGTATCAGTCATGCATCTCACCAGTCGACATCACCATATGGTTTATTTAGTGACTCCTATTTTTGTGGCTATTGATCTGCCCTTTCTTCCGACATTAATTTAGATGAAATGCCACCGACTAAACCAAAGAAGAAGAAGTCAAAAAGAGAGTCCAATGAAGTTGAGGATGGAGACGGTGAGAAGGAAATGATAAACCCATTGGTTTGCTTGTCATGTAGATGATGTCGTCATCATGGTGCACCGTTATTAGCATTTGGGATGTTTGTCTTGATATGAAAAAAGCAGGTGAGCAATGTCAGTTGTTGCTGTGTTTTCTGGATAGAGCCAGCAGTGGAGAGGATGGCACCAGAGCCCCAAGACATTCCACCTCAGAAGAAGAAAAAGAAGAAGAAAAAGAAAACACAGACTCTAGGTGAGTCAACACAACAAGTTCAAATGCCATTCTGTTTTACACATGCAGCATGGCCAGGGATGTTTCCCACCACCGTATCACCACATGATAAGTGTTGATAAGTAGCATAACATAGCGTGCATGTATTGATATTTCCCTTCCAGATCTGGAGCGGGAAGGAGACCACACCCAGCTGGACATGGCGAATGGAGGTACTGCTGTGGAACAGTCTGTGGATGGGGAGGACGAGGCCCCAAAAGCCAGAAAGAAGAAGTGAGCACAGGCATAGGCTCCTGAGGACTGGCAGAAGCTTTGTGCATAGGCCTTGGTGTCATATATGTATATTTCCTGATAAATCAGTGGCACAGTCAAGAGGAGAGCTAAATGTTGATGGAACTCGCGTCAGAGAATGCCTCTACCACTGCAGGAAGCCGAAGATCGGTGACAGGCTGCACTCCAGCGAGCTAGACAGTGAGGACGAAGATGTCATCACCAACGCAGCTGCCGCTATCCCCCAGCATTCCCTGTTCTCTGCCCCACTGGGACAAAGTCAACCAATCAGCAAAGTTTTTGTCGAGAGAAACCGTGAGTACAAACAACTAAAATCAAAGCACTTATTTGCATTTAGTGTGGTTTTGACAATTCTATGACTGTTTTCTCAACATACTTTATGCGCTATATATTTAATCTGTTTTGTGTTCCTATTATACTACTTTCCAAAAAGTATTATATTCTGATATGAGATAAGTAGATATTTACTTCATGTATGAAGGAGTTTTTTGGCCATTTGTCATTTTGGTGTCCAAGGAACTTAAAACCAACAAAGACTCAATGAACTGCCAGTGGGTATTTGTGGATAAATAACCTTGTGACACAAAGCTCAGGATGCTTTTTGGGTTTGCTGCGTGCAGGGCGGTTCCAAGCCACGGATCGCACAGACTTGGGCAAGCCCAGCATTCAAACAGATGATTACCTGGAGATAACATCCGTCTGGAGTACCCGGGATGTGGCCTTGAAGGTGCACAGTGGGTTCAGGTGAGCAGGGGACACGTTAGTGACTGCACAGCTTATAAAGAGAACCCACTGAGGGCCAGCCATTATCAAGTGATCCAGTTATCTTTGCAGCCATCTAACATAAGCAGTTATCTAGTATTGGGTTGCAGTGCTTATCCCTGGAAGCAGGGGGCATAAGGCAAGTAGCCCCCTTGATAGAATGTCAGTGCAATTCCAGGGAGTACACACACACACACACACACACACACACACAC